TCTTCTTCTGCTTCCTCTCATCCTCCTCTTTCTTCTTCTTCTTCTTCTTCTTCTTCTTCTTCTTCTTCTTCTTCTTCTTCTTCTTCTTCTTCTTCCTCCTCCTCCTCCTCTTCTTCTTCTTCTTCTACTTCTTCTTCTTCTTCTGCTACTTTCTTCTCCTTTTTTTAACACACACACATGCCCATCTATTCTGGGGGCCGTCAGTACAGCTACTTATCACCACCAAGCAGAATGGAAGAATCTGCAGAAGAAGAAGAGAAGAGAATAGAAGAGAAGACTCTGGGGCCTAATGGCACACCTGGCAGTGCCAACGGCATCCTGGTGTGCTTGGAGACCTTCACAGGCATGACGGCGTTGTGGTGTGCTCAGAGAACTTCAAAGGGATCGCTGTTTTGCGTTCTCTGTGCTGGTATGAGGACGGAGGACCTGCAACATCTCTACTTGCATCACCAACTCTCACAGCCCTTTTGGGACTGGTACGAGGTCGGGAGCGGCTCTGATCCCTGCTGCGGCGACTCGCTGGTCCGACAATTTCATTTTGTTTGCGGCTGCTGCCCCCCGGGATCAGAGGAGTATGTCAGTCACTCCAGACGCGGAGGAGTGTCTGCAGGGGCTATCCTGTGGACGCGACAGCCTGCCATGTGTGCCATCAAGGGCATGCTGCTCTACGCACGTCTTTCAGGGACATTTTGGCATGTATCTCAACTTATGGGGGTATTTTGCAAATTATCCCTAACAATAATGAGAATTAGATAATAGCAAACGGAAGTACAGCTAAACAACATGCAGCCCTACCCTAGCGTCTTCACCCCAATATAACTCCAGGTCATCATGGCTGCATTTAGACTGAAAGTTAGGGCAGTTATAAAATCTGGCTATATGCAAGTATAGCGATAATGAGGGGGCGTTCTATTCAGGTGAAGAATGTAGCGCAGTAGGCTGCTCAAAGAATGCAGAGTTTCGGGTTGGGAAAAAAAAAGAAAAAAAGGCTGCAGCTGGTCAGCCACACTACTCCAGGAGCATGGTCCCACTAGCAACCGGATAGGATAGAAAAGAGTTTGTGTGGCAGTTGAGTGACCCAAATCCTGCCGTGCAGTACTCGTGATCCCATGGTCAGTATTTTACATGTATTACCCAAAAAAGTAAGGAGATCTTGGTTCCCCTCCTCCTCTCCTTAACACTGGGCATGCCGGTGCAAAGGAAGCTTCCCGCCAAAATCTTTTCAATCCGTTGGGGGTATGACCAACCCCAAAAGAGAGTGGGGTCGGCCATAGGCCCACTGGATAGAAGATTTTCAGTATTTTACTATTTTGCTTGCTGTTGTGCAATTGGGTGGAGCCCTCCTTCAATCACGGAGTATATGGAGGGCGTCAGGATCACTGCTGACAGAAGTTGAGAATGTGGCAGTTACTTTCTGCACTGTTGTTGCAACCACCACCATCAGATCATTTGTGATCTGATGGCTGGGAAGCACTCTGCCGTGATTTCAGGTGGGAGGTCTCTGTTTCTTTTTTTTTTTTTGCCTTTCTCCTGTTTTCTCACCCCAGAAATTCGTAATGAACCTGTCAGGCCGCTGCCACTCAGTGTCACACTGGATCGGCCACACTCCTATCCGACTGCTAAGGGGACCATGCTCCAGATGTGTCCTCAGGTGGACGGCCATTTAAAAAAAAAAAAAAGGAAGTGGGCCGGCCAACCCCAGGGGCCTCGACCCACTACGTCCGGTTTATGCTTGTGCTCCGCCGTTTTCGACCACGTGCGGCCGTCCATGACATCGGTGAGTCGTTGATCATCTCACGTATCGACTGCTAGTGTGGATTGTCTTTGTTTTTGTGGACTGCCCGTCCGCCAGTAGAATTTTTTTTAAATCATTTATTGGCCATTTAGTTGGCCACTTTGCGTTGGCGTGAAGCTTCGATACTATGGTTTTTTTAGGGGGGGGGGGTGTTTTTGAAGCTTCACGCCTTGCTATTTTATTTTTGCAGAAATTGAGAATATTGAGATTTCCATGGAAGACTGCGAACAGGCCGGCGGGAAGGTCGCATGCAGATGCCGGTGGGAAGGTCGCATGCAGATGTACCGGGTTGGTGGAAGTGTGGATGAACAGCTTGTACTGTCATGATGTCGATGTTAGGTCCCGTGACTTTTCATTTTTTGGGTCCTTTTCTTTGCTACTGCGGATGAACAGCTTGTACCGTCATGACGTCGATTTTTCGTTTTTTGGATCCTTTTCTTTGCTACTGCCTTAATGAAAAATAGCATTGTTTATGCGTTTTTAAATGAGAAAAGAACGCCACACACCGTTTTAAACGATGCTAGTGGGTCAAGGCCCCAGGCAAAAAAAAAAAAACAAGACAGAAAAAAAAACTGGTCCAAATTTAACTAGTTAATTAATTAATTAATTAAATTTAAATAAGTAACGCAAAACAAAAAACATGCGGCAAGCTCCTGGGCCGGGGTCCCACTAGCAGCGTTTGAGTTTCCTTTTCTTTTTTTCTTTTTTTTCTTCTTTTTTTTTTTTAAGGGGGATAATTTGCAAAATACCCCCATACGTTGAGATCTATGCCAAAATGCCCCTGAAAGATGTGGGTAGAGCAGAATGCCTTTTTTTGGCCGAAATCTTTGTGTTGTGCCCCTGTCAGGCGGGTGTGCAACTTTGCAATCCGGACCTTCCCGTTTGGGCCTTGGCCTTCTGCAAAAGCGCCTAGGAAGAGTTGGCAAGTAGTGGGGCATTTTGCAAAGTTGGATGGTACCTGGTAGGGGTATATTGCAAAGATGGGGTTCCAACCGACGCCAGGGGTATTTCACAAAATATTGTTTTCGTCATAGGGGCATTCCGCTCTACCCACATCTTCTAGGGGCATTTTGGCATATACCTCAACTTATGGGGGTATTTTGCAAATTATCCCTTTTTTTCCATCATCTGCTGGAGGCCTATGGTAGGCCTCCTGTATACATGGCGCCAATCTATTGGTGAGGAGCTGCACCTGGTCGGAAACGGGTCCCGCATCCCATTTTACAAAATAATATAAAGAGCTTTGTACATTCTGAATATGGGACGTTGGGCCCGGCTGGCTCCCAGCACGTGCTGCTCCCCACGAGTAGATCGGAGCACGTTTCTCAAAAAAAAAAAAAAAAAAAAAGGGAAGCCAATTGTAAGGTTTGACAATGATGAGCACCATTGATCACCCTCTCACGATTGGTGGGGAGTCCCCCTCCCCTGTCCCCCCTGTCCCCCGCCGGGACGCTAGCCTCTAGCAACTCATGGGAGTTAAGCTGGACCCGGTTTCCAGCAGGTGCTGCTCCCCACCAATAGATGGAGCCTCCCCGACAGTGCTAGTCGTGTCTGCTCTTATCAGCACCCCTAGCACTGTCTCGGGCTGTTTTTCTTAAAAAAAAAAAAAAAAGAAGAGAGAGGGGGGGGAAGATTACCCTCTCACGAGGGGATGAACTGCCCATCAGTTCACAGTGACTAGTCTAAGCGTAAATGATGTGCAGCATTGATTGCCCTCCAGCAGGGGTCTGCCGCAGCGCAAGCTGACGATAGATTGCCAAGGGCGTGTTGGAGTGAGGGGTGGTTCTTGCTAGGGGTTGTGGTTAAGCATTGATGAAGCCAATTGTGTACTCTGTTGGCTCAATCTGTGTCCTGTGCTCATGATTGGGGAAAAGAGTCTGCATGGGATGTGATGTATGTCTCACTGAAGAGCCCTTTTTTTTTTTTTTTTTTTTTTTTTTTTACCTCCAGGTTTGATTGGAG